CCACTATTAACATGTATTTTTCTAACACTTTTTCTTTTCATGTTAGCAATTACCTATTCAATAGCCAGACAGCTGGCTGTTTCTTGGACTTGTGTTGGCACATGGAAGCAATGAGGAAAATGTGTCATTTCCACAAGGTCAGGCTGTGAGCCACAACCAGCGGACACACCGTGAGAGCAGAAAAGTGAGTTAGATCTCATTAATGACCTTCCCACAGACACAGTTCATGGATCCCAAAGTCTAAATAAATGAGATGAAGAAGATACACTCTCCCAAGGACTAACAGTCTGTCCATGAAATACAATTCTGTCATTCATGAAATACAATCCCTTAGGGATTTTTTTTCAGGAAAGCAAGGGGCAAGGAGAAAACAAGATCTTGGGATCTTGTTCTGAACCTTTACTCTGGACCAAGTATGGTTTGTAGGTGACACTATACTTTTCAAAAGTTTGTCAAAACTAGTATAAAATAGAATCATGGATGGTTTGGCTTGGAAGGGACCTTTAAATATCATCCAATCCAACTCCCTTGTCATAAGCAGGGACACCTTTCACAAGATCAGGTTGCTCAAAGCCCCATCAAACACTTTCAATGATGAGGCATCCACAACTTCTCTGGGAAGCTTGTTCCAGTGTCTCAACACCCTCATCATAAAGAATTCTTCTTTATGTCCAACCAAAATCTTCCCTCTTTCAGTTTAAAACCGTTGCCCCCTTGTCCTGTCACTACAGGCCCTGGTAATTACAGCCCCAAAGATCACAGTGATAAATGCAGCATGAATGCAAGAGACACTGTCCTGGATTAGCTGGAGGAAACAATGAGCTCAGGATGCCGAAGTACCACCTGCTTGGTCTCAGCTGGCCTTTTCAACTGCACAGGCTGCTTCATGTCCAAGCACTATGCACCTATGCATCCTTGGCTGTCTCTTCTTTTAGCTGTTATGGCAAACATAACCTATTCATCTTCTTCCAAGTCCCTCAGTCTACTCATACTCTGTCTGTTTTCTCTCACCCAGACTCAAGAGGTCAGCTCCTGTCTCCAGTTCCCTTGATACATTTTCAGAAGAGTGCTTTTGTGGTTTCTTATATGGTGTCTCTCCACACATGACGAGATCCATATGTGAGCTCCTTGCAGGCTTCTACAAAATTTTTTCAGTACCTTCTTTCATACATGTCAGTAAACTAAAACTCCTAATCATGATGACTATGCCGTCAGTACAACCTTATGTTTTCCTCCCTATACGCACCTATCTCATATCTCCTGTCTAATATTTAAAAAACAAGTCTGAACCATTGGTTTATTTGTGTATTGACCATAAAGCAACAGGGTCAAGGTCTTCGACTGATGCTCCCAGCTGGAGAAGATGACATTATGCAATAATTGATTTTAAAAAATAAACAGAAGTTATATAAAGGTACAAAACGAAGGACAACTTCTGACACCTTTATTTGTGTTGGATCATCAGTCACAGCAACCTTTGTACAAGTGAAACTGGTAAGCTGTCACTAAAAACATGCAAATATTGCAAAACAAAGTCTTCCTCTAACAAATGAAGACTGAAATAATAACCATACAAATTGTATGTTCTCTTAACCCTGATGCTCAAGCTTCATGCTCTGATATCTTTCTCATAACTGAATTCACTACTTCCTCCTCTTTAGCAATATTTCCCTCTTTCTCCTATTTGTATCTAACCCTAATGTATTGACCTATTTTCTCTACTTGGACCAAAGCATAACTAGAAATGCTTGAAGCCTCAGAGATGTTGGTGTACTTTTTGAGGTCATGAAACCTTAAAACGGCTACATTTAGCACAATGACAAGAAGTTTACTGCAATATCTTGGGAGCCTCATTTCTCAAGACTTAGGGAAAAAAAAAAAGACACTTTCTAAAATGTTTCTTGTAAATATGTTCCTTTGGAACTCAAAAATATGTTCCTTTGGAACTCAAAAGCTAATCAGTCAATGAACAAAATAATAATCTTATGTTTACCATTTCTGGTAATGGCTATGACACTGCTCCTAGAAAACTCTTAAGAAAATATGTACCAATAAATAGAGCATCAGGAAGTTAAGTACAATCAATAATTACGAGAAAAGGTTCAGGGTATGAAACACTGACAAGCCACTACTGATTTTCTTTTTTTAATAAATGTCACTCTATATAGCAAGCTACGTCCATTTGGGGAAGAAAGTAGATAATTATCAACTGGCTATTACAGAGTCTCTGTTGTTTTTATGGCTTCCTCAGTATTGCTTACTTATACATCTGATGTGTTGGAAGATTAGCCATATCCTTCTAATGAAATTCCCACTTACCCTTTTACCCAGTGCCTCTTTTTTTTTTTTTAATTGATCTGAGCACAGAAAATATCGTGAACTTTAGATCTCCATAATGGATTCAGTTCACATATTTAAATGTTGTGACTAAAAAGACCAGAATTCTTGTTTTTAAGAGGTGGCCTTGAATAAACAAATTGCCATGTATATAAATCCAATGGAAAGGAGGAAACACTTACGGAATATAAGAACCAGCTTGTTTACTCCTCTGAAATGAGTAGAAATGCCCACAAAAAAATGCAGAAGAGGACAAGCCAAGAATCTTCTGGAAATGGTCTTTAGCAAGATTATTCAAAGCATAGCACAGTTGCTTTCAAACTTTTATGCAATTTTTTGTTGTTTTTCTCACTAATTTTATTTTTCCAGGGAACATGCATGCTTTTACATGTGTCTGTTACTCTAGAGCAACACAAAGCCTGGTGCAGCCTTGGGACTCCTCTGTGTATGTAAAGAATTTTAACTCTTGGACTACAATTCTTTTTGCATCTGTTTCTGCAAGGGGAACCAGCTGAAAGATGAAGAGGAGGAAGGGAGCTGTGCACGAACTCCTTCCAGCATGTGACACGCAGTGAGCACCACACCAAGCTGTGCTAATGGGGAGGTTGTAGTCCTCCCTAACCCCGATTACAAATCCACCCCTGCAGTTCTCGCATTGATTCCGACACACATCATTAGGTCTTTCTTTGATCACAACCTGTTATTAACATGAAAGTCTTAATACATTCTCTAGGACATATTTCTAGTTTTTAAGAAATATTGCATGCAGGGCAAAGACAGGTTTTGAGACAGGAAAATATTATGGAGTTTTGGGGCTACATCCACTTCACATTTCTTTGGAGTATTTTGTTTACAGCAGCAATGAAAATCCACAGTGGAGGTGTCAAACTTCTCAGGGAGGAATATAGTATCTTTGCTTTTAAATCTCCATTTTTGGAAGCAAAGACAAATTCAAGGAAGAAAACTAAATAGTAAATTACTCATACACTGAGCCCCTTCAGATCCATTTGGTCAGCCTCTTCCTCTCTCTCTCTCTGAATTTACAGGTATGTTCAGCACCCACTACACTGTCTAAATCACCACCAACCACTAAATTTGCAGCTTCTGATGAAATTAAAGTATGCTAGCACAATAGTTGGTGAAATTAAGACCCACTGTGCACTATAGAAAAAAACGCCTGAAGATCTGATCCCAGTTTGTGACAGCCATGCTAAACACAAAGACTGTTTAAACACAAAGTGCTGATTGAAGTTTGCACTTCCTACAAAAATCAAAAGACAAATTTTAAAAAGTAGCTGATCCTACACAACATCAAAAGCTGAGAAATCTGTGTCTCATTTATAAAGCAAGCTCACTGTATACAGTGTTCTGTTCAAGAAATCCCCATCACAAAGTAAGGAAAATGTGCTTATAATGCTCTGGTAGACAAAGGCGGCAGTTGAAAAATTACTTCACAGAAAAATATATAGAAAAATAAAGCAGATATTCCTGCCTATGACTTACAGAGAGAGTTTAAAAATCAGACAAATCCTTGGAATTAGTAATGTCTGGCTTCCAACATACTTCTTTCTCACTGCCTACTGACTTTGTCACCTGAGATCATGTGAACACTGCTGGAAGGTCCTCCCTGGGCTGGCCATCTACAAGCACTCTCTTCAACACCAGTTCTCTCTGCTTTGAAAATGTCAACTCCCCTTCCACCTTGTCCCAAGAGCTGGGACACACAAAAAGGCACATATACTTCTAAAAGAATAATTATCTTTGAACCTTTTACTATCTGTGAAAGCTAAAATGGGTGACAGGAAGAGGATGCAAACACCCATACACATAGCATGATGACAAAACTCCATTTACATATTGTACATCAAAAAAAACCCCAAAAACCTACAGGCTACCTTAAAGAAGAAATTGCTCTTAACTGTAGTATGCATTATATGGTTACAGGAAAAATGTAAGTTCTCATTCTTTCATCTCAATAGCCTTCTCCTTTTCTTCTTAGTAAATTGTTGCTGTTTCTCTATTGCCTGCTCCCTCCATCCCCATGTTCTTCCATCCCTGCTTTTGGGTGAAGGTACAGCTGAATGGCATTTCAGTATTTGTTTTCATGTAGCAAAATATTTGAAGTGAGTTATATACATGACAGA